ACAGAAGCAAAGCCCAAACCACACCCACTGCCATGGAGTCCATTCTGACCCACAGCGCCCCTAGAGGACAGAGTGGAACTGCACCACAGGGTCTCCAAGGCTGTCAATCTTCACGGAAGCCGACTGCCTCGTCTTTCTCCCTCAGAGCAGCTGGTGGGTTGAAACTGGCAATCTCTTCGGTTGGCAGCCAGTGCTGTAAGCACTGTGCCACCGGGGCTCCTGCAAATGCATGAGTGGCTGGTAAAGGGGAAGCCTTGAGTGTTGCGTAGGTCGCTATGCTGAGCTGCTCTCTGAAGGATCGAGGTCAGAGTCCACCCAGGGGAACCTTGCAAGAAAAGCCTGGCCATCTGCCTCCAAAAAAAGAGCCGCTGAGAACCCTGTGGGGCGCAGTTCCACTCTGACCCACGGGGCTGCGCTGACTTGGGGTCCACTGGGGGGCGAGTGGTGTGGTCCGTAGTGACTGGTACATCTTGGTCCAAGAATTCGGCTGCCTCTTTGTTCAGCCAGATCCAACATACAGGACTGCATAAGCGTGATAATGCTGCCACTTAGCTAAGTGACACGTTTTCCAAGGACTTTAATTTACATGCGAGTCCCCGGGTAGCTTACTTGCTGAACAACAGGATAGAGTTTCAAGTCCACCCACATGTGCCTCAGAAGAAAGACCTGGCAATCCTGTTTGGAAAACCCCACTTAGTTCTACTCTGTCAGTTCCACTGTGAGACACCATGAGTCAGAATTGACTAGACAGCACCTGGGCGACCAGAGCAAGGGCGTGGGTTTTAAGAAGAATGCTCAACTTGCCGCGTGTCCGGGGGACGTGTGCTCGGCCACGTTTCGGAGATTTTCAAAAAGAGGCAGGACGCTGCTGTGGTAGATGTTCCACCAGAGATTCAGAAATGCCAGCTGCTGAGGGATGGCCGTGCCTGTGCCGTCCTGCACGACCGAGCCCATCTGCGGGTTGTACTTGTAGCTCCACGGTTTCCTGCAGCCAAGGAAGCGCACCACCTTTGCCGCAGAGCCAAACCTGAGAAGGAAACAGAAAAGACGTGACATCCTGCACAGAAGCCGTCAAGGACACACAGGAAGCATTGCTGCAGACACTCACTGGTTACGAGTCAACTTACTGATAATATACACACTGCCATGGAGTCCATTCCGACCCACAGCGCCCCTAGAGGACAGAGTGGAACTGCCCACAGGGTCTCCAAGGCTGTCAATCTTCACAGAAGCAAAGCCCAAACCACACCCACTGCCATGGAGTCCATTCCGACCCACAGCGCCCCTAGAGGACAGAGTGGAACTGCCCACAGGGTCTCCAAGGCTGTCAATCTTCACAGAAGCAAAGCCCAAACCACACCCACTGCCCTGGAGTCCATTCTGACCCACAGCGCCCCCAGAGGACGGAGTGGAACTGCCCAGAGGGTTTCCCAGGCTGTCAATCTTCATGGAAGCTGATTGTCTCGTCTTTCTCCCACAGACTGGCTGGTGGGTTCGACCCTCACACTTTCTGGTTAGCAGTCCAGTACTTACCCACTGCCCCACCAGACTCATTTGATTAATGTAAGCATAAATATTGTTAAGGTTTCCTTAGGTGGTGCCGATGGCTAAGTTATAGCAACTGGGCCCCAACTATCGGCAACAACCACGCTGCAGAGGGCTGGGCGGCAGGGGAGCTGCGGGTGTGCCACGTGGCAGAGATGGCATCTTCCCTGAGAGGAAGGCTGGGGGCGGCCCAGGGCTGGGCGGGCCCAAGGACTCACTGTTTGAAGGCAGGGTGGTAGGTGTAAGCCATGTTGTAAGCCATGCTCAGGTTGTAAATGAAGGGTAAGTGCTTGTGGATATCGGCCGTGGACCAGCTGCTGAAGAAACTGTTGAGTAAGCCTTGATCCGCCCCTAGGTCAATAACAAACACCGATGGCTCGTTAGGGCAGCCTGCCGTGGGACGCAAGCACACCACTTTGTCAGCGTGCCGTCCTGGGGGGGGCGTGTGCATGGCTGTGAGGCTGGAGGCAAATGCCAGGGGGTCGTGCGTGGGAGACAGGTTCCAGTGGCGCTTCCAGACTAAGACAGACTACGAGGGAGACCTGGTGACCTATTCTGAACATGAACCAATGAGAACCCCATGGGTCCCATGGTCTGAAATGAATTTAATTGTAATAGAACTATAAAATAATGCTGGGGTCATAACTGTGCTGTTGGCAAAGTATGCTGAAAGTACCATGGGCTGCTAAAAGAACTAACAGATCTGTCCTGGAGGAAGGGCATCCGGAATGCTCCTTGGAAGCGAGAATGGCCAGACTGGGTCTCACCTACTTTGGTCCTGTTGTCAGAAGGGACCATTCCCTGGAGAAGGATGCCGTGCTTGGTGAAGTGGAGGGTCAACAGAAAAGGGGAGGGCCCTCAACGAGATGGACCGACATAGTGGCTGCAGCGATGGGTTCAGGTGTGGCAAGGATGGTGGGGCTGGGGCAGGGCCAGGCAGGGTTTCGTTCTATTGAACGTGGGGTTGGTATGCGGCGTAATCGACTCCATAGCACCTGACGGCAACAACTATGACTACAAGCTGAAATACATAAAGAAGGTCAAACCCCTGGAACCATGCCCTGCACTTGGACTTGAAGCTTCCAGAACAATGAGAAGTGAATTTCTCTTCTTTAAAACCACCCCCTTCTAACAGTGTTTTTTGTTTGTTGGTTTGTTTGGTTTTGGGTACAGCAGCAGTAGAGAAACCAGACCCAGGGAAATGGGGGCCGGCAGGGGTGCGGCCTGGCTGACAAGAGCCCCGTCCTGTCCGGCAAATCCCCAGCCCCGGGCTCACCATCGAAGCTACCGTGGTCGGCGGCGTGTTGCAGGAGGCGGCTGTGTGTCTCCAGAGAGGGTTGGAAGACAAAGACGCTAGTGTTGAAGCAATCCGGCCACCCGGGGTCCGGGGCCGCGGACAGCTCTCCCCGGTCAAACAGCTCGTCGATGTTGGACAGGACCTGGACAAGGAAACGGGGACACCCGTCCAAACACATGTCTGCCTCAGGTTCGCCGGGAAGAAAGGAAAAGTGACGTTAGGGCCGAGGAGTGTCCTGGCATTGCGGGGCAACCTGGGCCCAAGTCTTCCAATTTTTTTTTCCACCTGATATCAATACTTCCTGGATTATTTGGGGGGAAGAGAGTTGTGGAAATATACCCAAGAAAACACACCCCAATTCAACAGTGTGGACAAGTACAGTTCAGCAACACCGACTTGTTTCTTCACGTTGTGTGCCCAGGCCCAGCAGCCTTTTCCAACCATCCCACCACCATTAACCCGACTCCCTGTCCCTTGCTAACCTTCTCATCTAAACCTTCGAGTTGCTTTTGTCAACTGGATCCCGTAGAGAGAGTTCTTTACAAGAGTCAAATGCTTCAAGCAGATGGTTCTTGTTTCATTAGGCTAAACTTGGTAGTAGTTGGTTCAAAGAGGACTGCAGGGGAGAGTTTTGGATCAAGATTTGAAGATTTCCTCAGCATAGGCATTTCAGGGGAGTCCCCTGTCCTCAACCATTCCAGAAACTCTGGGTTTCATGAAAATTGTACATTCTGTTCCTCATTTTCCCCCCTTTTGGTCACACTTCCACTGAGCATTCAGTCACAGGAGCCAGGCACCATCCAGTCCTTCCAGTCTCGTGGCAAAGATGGCAGTTGTTCATGGATGTGTCCTATTTTGGGGTGACACTTTTGGGCTTTTACTCAAAGGAGGCAATTGTGTGATAAAGCTCACCGTCCAGTGCATTTTGAGTGACAGAAGTGGGGCTGTCTGCAAAATTAGATGAGTTTTTGGAGAATCATGCGATGCCCCATGGAATTCTCTTCATCAGTCTGGCCAGTGGGACTCAGCAAAGAGGCTCCCATCAGGAGGTCACAGTCAGCTGCCTTGAGGAGCCTGGCTGGTCACGGCAGCCCTGTGACACACACTGGCCGCCTGCCCGGCACTGAACCTGGGCCAACCATGATTATCTCATGGTCCCTGTCCTCCTCCTCTTCCGTACGCCTCGCTGTCTTTACAGAGCCTACTGCAGTAGCCCCCACACAATGCCTTCTACATTTGGACTTCCCCACGGCTGCGTGTGAACATGGCCACCACGGAGGAGCCCTGGTGGCACAGTGGTTAAAAAGCCAGCTGCTAACCCAAAGCTTGAGGGTTCAAACCCACCCAGAGGCTCCCAGAGAGAAAGCCTGAAAAATCCTGGAAAAATTGCAGCCAGGAAAACCCTGCTGTGTCCCACCTGGGGTCCGCAGGGTGAGAATCCACGGGACCGCAGAGAACACACACAGCTGAGACCTCCGTGGGGTTCACAGTTGGCGCCTGCTGCCCTCTCTGCCCTCAGCAGCTGTCACACACGCCCACCTCCCACCGCTGCTGTCTGTGCTACTGAATTTGGCCCAGTGTTCTCCTGGAGGAGGCCCTGTCTGCTTCTCACACAGGGCCACGGGGTCGCTGGGATTGCTACCACGCAGTGTGGGAACTCGGGGTGTCACCTCCCCCACGGACCACCTCCCATCCAGGACCGTACAGTCATGTTTATTAGCAAATTTAATCAGAGAATAATATGTGACAAACTCAGTTGTAAACTGCTTAAATAGACTATTTCTTAGATTATATGAATACTGAGATCAAAATCATTTTGTATAATCTTTCTATAGGAAATGACAACGTTATTAGTTATGTTATCATTAGTAACTAAAGGGAAGCCTTTTCTATTTTATTTTTCTCCTTTTCTTTTAATTCCTACTTCATCCTCAAAAAAGTAACGAATACAGGTTTACAAATACTACCTACCACAATACTGTAGCTAAACCAGGAGCTCTGGCGGTGCAGGCACTTGCCTGCTAACCAGAAGGTCGGTGGTTCAAACCCATTAGCCACTCTGGGAAAGAACGATGGAGCTATCCACTTCCGTAAAGATTTACTGCCTTGGAAACTCAACAGGGGTCACTATGAGTCAGAAATGACTCAAGGCAGTGAGTTTAGTTTGGTTTTTAGGTAGCTGAAGCACCAAAAAATTTGACAAAATCAGCGACTGTAAAAACATTGCCAGCAGTGAAAATAAACAGCACGTGTTCGTAGTGCATGCAACAAAATCACGCGATTCAAACCATCCTTGTAGTCAGGTAACAATGACCGCTCTGAACGGAGTGTGTGAGAAGGTGCAAAATGTACATCAGCCCAGAGTTTTAGCCTTGCAGGTATATTGATCCACAGAAGCTGGGCTCACACAACATGGTCTTGTTCTCACTACAGGGCAACTGTCCCCAAAATAATAAATTTGTGCAGAAACTCTGCACACAAATTCTGTACACAGTCATCCGGGTGTCACCTCTCTGATGATGTCACAGTGTGGTCTGTACCCTCCACAGGGAAGCTGCTGGCAGAGATGCAGGAAGAACCCCTGGTGGCACAATGGTTAAGTGCTCAGCTGCTAGCCAAAAGGTCAGCAGTGCAAACCTACCCAGCAGCTCCATGAACACACACCTGGTGATCAGCTCCCATAAAGACTGACACCCTTGGGAACTCTGGGGGCAGTTCCACTC